ACTACTTCGCACAGTGCAGCTACCCGTCGTCCAGTCAATTCGCGGGGCAATCACGTCCTAGCAAAATGTCGTGCCCATCCATCGTCGTCGAAAGCATTTCCTGTGTAAATCCGAAGTTCCCCCCGCAACGAACTTCCACCCTCTCCACTTTTTCTCGTATTGCCAGTGGCGTGCCGTCAACTAAACGTGCGTCAATTTCCGGTAAGCAGCGGCTAAGTGTCAGTTGCAGTTTTCGTTCGGTCGCGGTATTAACTAAAGTGTGGCTTGATCCTCCGTCTATGAAAATCTTCACAGTTGTCCCTTGTATTTTCTTGTATTCATCCAAGCCCGATCGATGGCGTAAATCGGTACTGTGACTCGGTGAGGATCGGCGAGGTTGGGCGAGCAGGTTGTCTCGTCAGTAGTTGGCCCGCTTTTTTACTGACTGCTTGCATTTCCCTGCCTCTGAGACTTCCCCCCCTGCTCTGCTCCGCGGCGCCTCAGCTCTTCTGAACATTCACTCTTGCGATGGCCCGGCCTATTGCAAGCAAAGCAGCGCCCCTTAAATGGCGCGGCAGCTGCATTCGCCGCAACGTCGTGTCAGAAATAACTGAGCAGGAATGAATGAACTAGCACAGAGTTTGGTACAAGTAGGAAACCCTAACTTTGAGTACCCCCTAAGGTGTAACCCACTACAGCCTACATAATATAAACATGCAATGTTTGACACACCCCCATAGGCGCAGTGGGAGACAACCACAGGGTCACAAGACCAGTCAAAGCAAAGCAAAGCAAGCTCAGGGTGGATCTCAAGGATTCCACACAAATTCCGAGCACAAGCAAGCGGTCACAAGACCAGTTCACATGCAGGTTTATAACAAAGCAAGAGATACAGTGATCACAACCTAGCAAAAGTAAACAAGTAGGCATATATATATAGTGATCACAGTACAAGCAAGGTCAAGAGGTAAGCAAGTGAGGCCCAGTAGGTACAAGGCCTAGCAGAGTGCAAAAGCGCTGATGGTCACAAGGCTGAAGCGCCTTGGTGAACACATCAGCAGTGTTGGCCTCCGTGGCCACGTAACGCAGACAAAGCTGACCACGCTGCTGCAGCTCTCGAGCAAGGAAGTACCGCAGAGCGATGTGCTTCGTTCTGTGCTCCAGTCTGTGCTCCTCACACAAGGCAATGGCAGCCTTGTTGTCGACGTACAGCACTGGAGGAGAACGAGGCCGCTCTCCGAGGTCGGTCAGCAGGTAGGTCAGCCAGCGTAGCTCCTGAGCAGCCATGGCTGTGGCGTAGATCTCAGCCTCACAACTGGAGCTGAGAACAGAAGAAGAGCGAGTAGAACGCCAAGAAACTGAGCCAGAGCCAAGGCTGAAGGTGTAACCCTGGGACGACCGCTGAGTAGCCTGGTCGTCTGCCCAAGAAGCGTCTGAGTGCCCTGTGAGAACAACCCGGTCTCGCCCTCCAAGCACAAGCCCCATGCCCGACGTACTGCACAAGTAGCGCAACACCCTCTTAGCAGCATCCATGTGCTCCTTCCGGTGACGGCCAGGAGCGACATAGCGTGCTAGGATGCTAAGAGGGTATGCAAGGTCAGGTCGAGTGCAGGTCATCAGGTACATGAGGCAGCCCACAAGCTCTGGATACGGGCCACTCGGCTCTACGGACTCATCCGAAGGCAGAGCTGAGAGCGAGTGACCGGTAGGCAGAGGAGTGGACTGAGGCGAGGAGTACGTGAAGCGGAAGCGCTGGAGAACCTGCTGCACCATGTGTGACTGAGTCAGGGTGATGGTGCGCCGTGCTCTGTCCCGGGTGATCCGCAAGCCAAGATAGCTCGTCAGCTCACCCAGGTCTGTGCACGTGTGTCTCCTCTGCAGCTCCGACTTCACGTGAGCGAGTGCCGCGGTGTCAGCAGTGGCAAAGACCAAGTCGTCGACGTACACGAGGATGTAGAACGGCGGCAGCGAGGTGTCGGTGCGTAGAAACAGCGACGGGTCAGCAGTAGAGGGAGCGAACCCAAGAGCCGCAAGTGTCGTCCTCAGTGTGTCGTGCCACTCACGTGGCGCCTGGCGGAGACCGTAGACCGGCCGCTGAAGCCTCCACTGGGTGCCAGGAGGAACTGACCCAGTGAAGCCAGGGGGGCGGCGCAGCCAGATCTCCTCGTGCAGGCTGCCCTGCAAGAAAGCAGTGCTGAAGTCAAGAGAGTGAAGCTCGTAGTCGCGGTGAGCGGCTATGTGCAGCAGCACCCGAAGGAACGCGAGCTCACACTGGAGCCAACGTTTCGGTGACCGCTGGAATCTGGTCATGCGTGTGAAGACCAAGGTCGGCCAACAGTTATTGGCTTGTGAGTGGTAAAGGGATTGAATACGCGCTTGAATCTTGACTGTATATGCCTAGCACTATAAACACCTCCATGTTTCTACCCATCCCCTCTTGTTGTGCGGTGTTTTTCCTGGGCATAGTGCGCTAAGGACTGCGAGGCGTTTTGGAAGTTCGTGCGCATCAACAGGGCGCAGCACAACATCGACCCGGCCCGCATCATCAACGCGGACCAGACGCCTCTCTTCGTTGCGATGCCAGCCGAGAGGACGACCGAGCACCGTGGCGCGCACTCGGTCCCAATCCGCAATGCAGGATACGAGAAGACACGGCTGAAATTGATGCTCGCGTGCATTGCATCCGGGAAGAAGTTGCGCCCGTGGGTATGGTTCAAGTTGAAGAACGTGCTGAACTGTGAGATTCCAGCAGGTAAGCTTAAGGAATTTGGGTTTCAAAGAGTGTTGAGCTTGCCCTTCTTGGCTGACGCCTGTCTCTCCCCTCTGTGCCTGGCAGGAGTCGTGGTCCAAGCATAGGACAACGGGTGGATGGATAAGAGCACTGTGCAAACATGGCTGACCAGAGAGGTGCTGCCCCATCTGAACCCCCAGCGCGGCCAGAACACGTGGCGTGCGATGCTGGTGTTAGACTCATGCCGAGGCCACATCACCCAGGGCATGCTTGAAGCGTACCGCACGCACAACACCACCCCTGCAGTAATCCCAGCGGGTTGCATGAGCCAGATTCAACCCTTGAACGTCTCCATCAACCGGTGCTTCAAGGCTGCAGTACGAGTGCGCTACGCCAGGTGGTTCATGTGTGAAGGGACTCACCTGAAGACGAAGAAGGGTGAGTAACCTTTCTATAAAAATTCATCTATGTTACCCTTCCATGTCTCTCACGGCACATTGCCCTTGCCTCTGTTCCACCCGCAGGGAACTTGCGGAGGCCTCCGCACCCCGTCGTGATGCAGTGAATCGCGGAGGCGTGGGATCAAGTCCCCAAACAAGTCATCAGTGACGCGTTCCGCCACTTTGGAATTTCAAGCAAGCTGGACGAGACGGAGAACCCCCTGGTGATGTCTCACCTGCGCGCTCGGAGCACCACCGATGTCTCAAGGACATGAGCCTCGGGGGAACCACGGGCGACAAACACGCGCCTGCTTGGGCAGGCTCCATAGGAGGAGGATGAGGAGATGCACGCAGAGGGCGTCAGGGAGGTCGCCGTGGCAACCAGCCTGGAGGTGCTGTACCAAGAAACCCCCAACTACCGCGGAGCGGCGGCCGAGGCTGACCGCACGATCAAGCCTAGGCAGACGGCTATGCATGCCTGGGCGAGTGCCAGACCTGGGTGTTAAGGAGCCTGCTGTTAGTGCATGTGAGGAGGCCGTGACGAAGGGGGGGCTAGGTAGAAGTAGAAATTCATAAATGTATGCATGTACCCGCGTTAAGGAACAAAAAATCGTTTAGAAGACACCCTTCTCTTTATAAGAAAACCCCTAAACCCTTGTTCTAGTAACAAGACATTGTCTTATCTCGTACACACAAATAGGTGTCTTATAATGAGGCTACCCCGTTTATAAGAGACACCCCGATAATAGACACCCCCTGTCATCTATTCAACACTGTCTTATATCCGGGCGATGACAGTACCCTTACGCAAGGGTTTTCATGCCTAAATCACGGTTGGGGGAACAAGTTTCGGTATCAGACAAATCCGAAACAGATATATGATCAATCAGACGAACAGAAAATCCATATGATATCTTAAATAATAAACAAAAAGCAAACCTTGTCAAGCAGGAATTGCAAAATCTGATTTCTGATCAACGAGAATACCATATCTCTAAAAAAAACGTGTGCAAATTAGACAAACAGACAAAAAGATTCTGATAGCGAGAGCACTGAAACAAGGGTAAACAAAAATTTCACCCAGCTACGGAACTTGGGGACCAGGGCAAAATTTTGGATTTGATCAACCCTTGTGATCAGTGTACCACATGCTCAAAAACGTGATTATCAGTGTGACCCCTTTTGAAAAACCTTTTCCATCAGGGTTTTCCAAGGTTTTTAAACTTTACCCAGTCGCATCAATGTACTTAAATGACAAGCCCTGGTCAATAGTTTTTAACGTAGAAATCAATTCACAAGTTTTAGTCATCATCATCAGACATGCCACATGGGTGTTCATCGTGGTCACTTTCATCTGGCTCTGGTGCTTTCTGTTTCCCCTTCCGATCCACAGGTTTCGCGTGCGCGACTGATTTCGCTGGCCTTCGGGTTTTCTGCTTGCACCAGATGTCCACCACATCAGGCCAGACGTATGGGAGCATGTGCAGCGTCATGAGGTCGCCAAGGCGTGCATCGCAAAGCGATGTGCGCATCCAGCTTTTGATGATGTTCTGGCGACTAAACCCTCTCTCACACTCCACTGTGCTCAGTGGCAGCACAGCGAGGGCCTGCCAGATTGTGGTCAGATTCGGATAGCTGCGTTGCCAATCCTGGCTCTTCAACATGCTTTGAAGACCCTGGTGGAAATCTTCCCCCGCGTGATGGCGTGACATGATGTGACAGAAACTCCTCAGCTCCTTCTTCGCCGCCTTGAAATCGAATCCTGACGGGGATGGGGTTTGAGGCAGTGGAAGTAAAGGGGGCTGGTTGTCAGGTACTGTGGTACTGTAACATGCAGGGTGCGAGCCGAATCAAACGCACGTGTGAAAGCTAACCTCACCTGGAAGCATACCGCCAAACAGTTCATCGTTTGCCGCCAGCCACTCGAGGGTCTTCAAATCGCGCTGGTCCTCTCTGGATAGCCACGATTCAACTTGAAACAGCTTCGCGCCGCCCAACTGCAGCGAGTCCCACATGCGGTACTTCATTCTTGCCACAATCTCCTTCACGAAACCCGTGCACAACTTTTCGCAGTCAGCAAACGTGCCCCCAAACTTGTGCTTCTTGATGGGTGCCTCGCTCAACTCGAACTTGTATGATCTCTGCCGCCCCTCCGCGTCAATCCCTTCAACCACCACCGTCTGGTTGTCACCTCCGTGCGCTTTGATGAACTTGGACAAGAGCTTGCTGACCCCGCCGCCAAAGGTGTCGCCGTATTGGATGTACCGGTGCGTGATGATGGTGATCGTGTGGTCGACTTCTTTGGCGACTAGTGTGATGTCCACCTGTAAACACGGGGCACGCCACAGAGGTTAGATGCAACAAATTTTGGTATTACCAATCTTCTACACGCTTAGAAACACACTTGCCTTGCGCAATCTTGTGCCCATACTCCACAATCATGACGATCGCCGCCCCGAAAACTCTGCACAGCCTCGCTATAGCGTCTCCCCGCGATAGCCATCTGACGTTGAACAGTCCTTGGTGTTCGAGGTTGCGAGACAGCCTAGGCAAGAATGAATGAAATAGCAGCATGCAGGAGTACAAGTAGTAAACCCTAATTGGGTTGTACCCCATATGGGCTACCCCACTACAGCCTACACAATATGCAGCATATATAGTTTGACACACCCCCATAGGCAAAGTGGGGGAGAGCAAGGGGTCACAAGACCAGTCAAGAAAAGCAAAGCAAGCTCAGGGTGGATCACAACGTCACCACACACACCGAGCACAAGCAAAGGGCCACAAGGCCAGTTCACATGCAGAGGTATATATGCAACAAGAACAGTACAGTGATCACTACCTAGCAAGAGCAAGCATGCAGGTATATATATATGGATCACAGTACAAGCAGAGTCTACAGCAAGTGTGGAAACGTAGGCAAAAGGCCCAACAAAGTACAAAAACGCTGATGGTCACCAGACGGAAGTGCCTTGGTGAATATATCAGCAGTGTTGGCCTGAGAGGCCACGTGTGCAAGACGAAGCTGACCACGCTGCTGCAACTCTCGAGCCAGGAAGTAACACAGAGCGATGTGCTTCGTTCTGTGCTCCAGTCTGTGCTCCTCACACAAGGCAATGGCGGCCTTGTTGTCGACGTATAGCACTGGAGGAGAACGAGGCCACTCTCCCAAGTCGGTCAGCAGGTAAGTGAGCCAGCGTAACTCCTGAGCAGCCATGGCAGTGGCGTAGATCTCAGCCTCACAACTGGAGCTGAGAACAGAAGACGAGCAAGTAGAACGCCAAGAAACAGAACCAGAGCCAAGGCTGAAAGTGTAACCCTGTGACGACCGCTGCGTAGCCTGGTCGTCAACCCAAGAAACGTCTGTGTGCCCAGTGAGGACCACGTCTCTCCGCCCTCCAAGCACGAGCCTCATGCCCGACGTACTGCACAAGTAGCGCAGTACCCTCTTCGCAGCATCCCAGTGCACCTTTCAGTGCCGACCAGGAGCCACGTAACGGGCCAGAAGGCCAAGAGGGTACGCAAGGTCAGGACGAGTGCAGGTCATCAGGTACATGAGGCAGCCCACTAGCTCTGGGTAAGGACCACTCGGCTCTACGGACTCGTCCGAAGGTGGAGCTGAGAGCGAGTGACCTGTAGCCAGAGGAGTGGACTGTGGCGAGGACCAGGTGAAGCCGAAGTGCTGAAGGACCTGCTGCACCATGTGTGACTGAGTCAGAGTGATGGTGCGGCGTGCTCTGTCCCGGGTGATCTGCAAGCCAAGGTAGCTGCGCAGCTCACCCAGGTCTGTGCACGTGTGTCTCTTCTGCAGCTCCGACTTCACCAGGGCGAGAGCCTCAGTGTCAGCAGTGGCAAAGACCAAGTCGTCGACGTACACGAGGATGTAGAACGGCGGCAGCGAAGTGTCGGTGCGCAGAAACAGCGACGGGTCAGCAGTCGAAGGTGCAAACCCAAGAGCCGCAAGTGTCGTCCTTAGTGTGTCGTGCCACTCACGAGGCGCCTGGCGGAGACCGTAGACTGGCCGCCGGAGGCTCCACTGGGTACCAGAAGGGAACGACCCAGTGAAGCCAGGTGGGCGGCGCAGCCAGATCTCCTCGTGCAGGCTGCCCTGTAAGAAAGCTGTGCTAAAGTCAAGAGAGTGAAGCTCGTAGTCACGCTGAGCGGCAATGTGCAGCAGCACCCGAAGAGTGGTCATCTTCGGGGTGGGGGAGAAGGTCTGGAAGTCGAGCCCCTCTCGCTGACTGAAGCGTCGAGCAACGTAACGAGCCTTGAAGACAGGCGGAGAACCTGGCGGCCGCTTCACCCTGAAAATCCACATGCCATCAACGATGTTCGCCCCTGGAGGGGGAACCTCATCGATGTAAGTGCCTGTGGACTTCCACGATGCCATCTCTGCGTCCATGGCTGTCTGCCACTGAGAGGAGTAGGGGCCCGCGATCGCCTCAGCGTAAGAGCGCGGGGTCGGGATGTCTATAGCATCCGGGTCTCCCTCAGGGGCAAGCAGCATGGCCACGAGATGAGGCGCAGCGGCCGCAAGACACTCAAGGTCCTCCTGTCTGTCCTCAAGGACGTCCGTGCCAAGAGCACACTCACCCCCGACGGACGGAGGACAGACAGACGCAGACTCAGCAACTAGACCGGCAGCGTAGTCTAGACGACAGGCAGCAGCAAAGTCGACAAGCTCAGCGACCAAGGCAGACGCAGCAGCAGACTCAAACGACGGGTCAGTAACAACAGTGGCTAACAGACGCGTGACAGTAGGGTGCTCAGCACGAAACCGGTCAGACTCAGGGTCCGCAACAACAGGCAGAGAGGACGCAGGAGGAGACGGTAGAGGAATAGAGTGTGGAGCAGAGAAAGGATGACGGACGACGAGGTGCGCACTGCGGACGAGGAACACGACAACCGGGACGACCAGAACAAACAGGCCAGACAGGACGTGACGCAGGCTCACGACGCTCAGCAAGACCTCCTGCCTGAGAGGAGGAATGAATCAACATCGCCGGGTCACCACGCCACACGGGAATTATTATCTAAAAGTCGGTACGAACCGAGTTTGGGTCCTGTCCTACCGACCCTTAAAGGAGTAGCTGATGCAGGAGGTACACGGGTCCAAACACTGAAGCTGGTGCAACGTTATTATTATTGGCCCGACATGTCGTCGGATGTGTAGCACTACGTCTTAGCTTGCTTGACCTGCCAAGCAATGAAGTCGTCGCGACAACGCCCAGCTGGATTGCTGCTGCCCCATGAGCCACCCGAACGTCCGTGGCAACACGTGACGATGGATTTCGTCACTGGGCTACCCGCTTGCGCAAGTGGCAACGACTCGGTCCTAGTTGTCGGTGACCAATTAACAAACATGGTGCATTTCTCACCATTCTGCACGATGATCACGGCCAAAGAAACTGCGAAGCTGTTCATCTCAATCGTAGTTCAATTACACGGGTTACCTTCAGTGATTATCAGCGACCAAGAGCCAAAATTCACGACGAAGTACGGCACCCGCGTGCAGTTTTTGATGTCATACCGCCCGCAAACCGACGGTCACACAGAGCGGACAAACTAGAGAATCCCCTATTGCAGCAAAATTCAAACCGTGCCACGCGAGAACCTGTTTCAAACCTGTTCCTGCCCTTTTCACTTCAAATGTTTCTACCTACATTGGTCCATATCTGATGGTTGTTGGTGTCGCTTCGACTCTTCTGACTCCTCGACTTAGTACACAATAAAGTCGGCTCCTGTAGCGTACATGAATGCCTTCTCATTAAATTTCATACCGTAACACTCTCCTTCATTACTGGGCGCGCTGAGAGAAACTCGCTTGACTACTCCGATGAGGTTGGAGCAATGCTGGTACTGCTAATGTGGTAGTTGCTTGGTGAGGAAGTCGGCTGCCATCTCGGTAGTGGGGCAGTACGTAAGGTCAACTTTTCCCTGGTCAATTTCGTCTTTGACGAAAAAGTACTGTAGCGCGATGTGCTTCGTGCGGTTAACGAACCTTGGTTTGTTTGCGATCCTGGTGTCGCTTTGGTTGTCGCAGTGAACGCGAAAGGTGGGCGAAGTTGGGATTTTTTGCCTCCTGCAGCAGCTCTTGTAGGCAGAGTCCTTCGCGAACTGTTGGTGCAACCTTACGGTTTGCACTCGGCTTGTTGTCCGTGTGCGTGCATGCGTGTGTGCATGGAATGGAATGAGGGCATGAAATAATATATATTTCATGCTTATAATAGTATGTCCATGATGAGTCATGATGTCGAGTGTGTGTGTCGAGTCAATAGCGAGTTATTGCTAGCCGCGTGTTACACGGTCATTTGTCCTGTGTCGAACGTTCGGCATGTCGCAGGTGTGTGCAGCAGACCCATCAAGAACTCAAGGATGAGTTTGTGATGAAGAACTTGAGCCTTGGTGTCAAGACTCAAGTGATCTCGAAGCCTGCAAAAGGGTACACATCAAGATAATGAGAATAGTTACAGTACTTTGTGTAGTGTAACATTTCAGTTGGTGTAGGCCCTTGTGGAGGGTAGTTTTGAGACCCTTCTTGGTTGGGGACAGTGTGGCACTGTTCCACATCACTGTGCATCGGCTCTTGGGGTTTTGTAGGAGCTATGAGTCATTCCCAACTCGTAACTCTTCCTAACTCTTCCTATTGTGTGTTCTAAGACCATAGTGGCTGCCATAGTATCGTTCGTTCAAACCGATGTCGCGTTGTCAATACTTGGTGAAATCGTGCGATTGAAATGGCTGATTGTAGATGACTTGATGCCGCTCCAGATCCAATTTGAATCATGTCATTTGAAGCTGTAACCAGAACGCTATGAATGTTTAAAGCTGCTGTGCAGAAATCCGGCTGTGCACTCTATCTTTCGTTTTAGGCACATTGAAGCCTATTGTGGTTATAACAAGTGGTATCAGAGCGCCTTGGAGCAGCTACGACGATGGCTGGACGTGACAAAAGGGGTGGCAGAGGTGCTGGTGGCAGTGGAGAAGCCCAAGCACAAGGCCAACTCTAGGACCTTCTAAGGGAAGAACCAAGAGTGTTTGGGCTTGACAAGTTCAACGGCGACAACTTTGCTGAATGGTCCTTCAGAATGGAGAACGTGTTTGACCACTATGACCTGCTGGAGGTGATGGAAGGAACGGAGAAGCATCCAGAGAACGACCCGGAGAAGAGCCCGTGGGTGCGGAAGAGCGCACAAGGCTACCTCCTACTTGGGCAAGCGTTGGGGAGCAGCCAAATCCGTCACATCAAGCCATTCCAGCGTGAACCAGAGAAGGGACCAAAGGCATGGGCTGCTCTCAAGGGTGTACACGCTCCTGCAACAGCGGCGGTAGCTGTGGTGTTGGAACGGCAAATGGCGACACTACGAACTGAAAAAGATGAACCCGTGGAAGAAGGGGTGCGGAATGTTTTCGACTTGTTGACGCGGCTTGAGGGAGCTGAT